GCTTAAACTCACGCCGGGCACGTGTGCGTGCGTGCCCAAGATCCCGAGAGGAGAATAGAGGAGAAGGGATTGGGGCGTGGCCATCCCCCTTGGGGGGTGATTTCTTGCTTTCTATCTTTCTGTTTCTCTCTGTCTTTCTGGCTAGTGCACGCACCCTATACCAAAAACCTCTTTAAAAAGAAAAGGTTTATGGAATTAAAATCCAAGTTTATTTTGGTGTAAAGACATGGAAATCCAGGCATAGTTTTTTTTTTTTTTCTCTTTTTTTGGGGGGGAGAGGTTTTCGCTACAGGGCACGTGCGCTCGCCAGACAGACAGAGAGAGACATAGAGACAGAAAGCGAGAAATCACCCCCCAGGGGGGATGGCCACGCCACAATCCCTTCTCCTCCATTCTCTTCTTGGGATCTTGGGCATGCACGCACACGTGCCTGGCGTGAGCTCCAAGCCGCCGGGTCCGGGATGCGAACCGCGGTCGACTACGTGAGAGTCCAGCGACATAGCCATTACGCCAACTGCTGGTTCCCCAGGCGTAGTTGTTTTTATAATACATATTTCCATGAGCCTTTCGAAGGTTCCTTTTACTACACGTGTGTGCTTATGTAACGGGCATACATGTGGGCGTATGTATTGTGCTCACGCGTGTCTCCAACCGGAAGCTTCTGTTTGAGTTCCAGAGGCCACCACCCCCACTGAAGAATCCCCCCAGCCCCAGGGCCAGCCCTTACCTGCATGGTGTCCTTGGCGGAGTCTGGCTTGACGTCGCTGCTCAAATTCTGAATTTTATCAAAGAACCAGGAAAGTATCTGGGGGCGGGGACGTAAGGGGGTCAGAGAGCCTGGTCGGCGGTGAGGAAGCTCCCTGCCCAGGGCTCAGACGCAGGAAGTCCCTTCCTCATCACTGAGTCCACTGGGAGGGATTTCCTGCCCCCAGGTAAGGACTGGAGCCACTCACCTGGCTGTCGATTCCAGGGAGCCAGGTCAAGGTGGAGAAGGGCGTAGCTGTTGGGGACAGGACAGTGGTTCATGAGATTCGAGAGTCTGCGTTTGTGTGTACTGGGGAGGGCGAGTTGCTTTGTTTTTTTGTTTGTTTTTTTTTTTGGAGAGGTTTTTGCTATAGGGCACATGCACTCGCCAGAAAAACAGAGACAGAGAGACAGAAAGCGAGAAATCACCCCCCCCTGGAGGGATGGCCATGCCACAATCCCTTCTCCTCCATTCTCCTCTCGGGATCTTGGGCACGCACACACGCCCGGTGTGTGTTTAAGCCACCGGATCCTGGACTTGAACTGTGCTCGAATCCATGGGATGTCAGCACCATAGCCATTACACCAACTGCTGGTCCCATTTCTTTCTTTCTTTCTTTTTTTTTTAAGAATTATTTATTTATTTAATTCTATTTGTTATTATTTTTTCATTTGACCAGAGAGAGAGAAAGGGAAAATGAGAAAGTAAGTCACCAGGTTTGGGACTTGAACCACGGTTGACCATGTGGGAGTCCAACACCTTTAACCTCCATGCCACCTGCCAGCTTCCCCCGCCCTTTTTTTCCCCCAAGAGTTTCTTTTTTTGACTTAGGGCACTTGCATTTGCCACAGAGAGAGAGTGACAGACAGAGAGAGAGAACTTGAGAAATCACCCCCCCCAGGGAGGATGGCCACGCCGCAATCCCTTCTCCTCCATCTTCCTCCCAGGATCTTGGGCATGCACGCACGTGCCCGGTGTAATTTTCTAAACACCGGGTCTGGGACTCGAACCACAGTCAACAGGAGTCCAGCTATATAACCGCTCTACCATCTGCCAGCCTCGAAGGGGAGGTTCTGAGGTCAGATGAGACCACATACCTTCGCAGACCACGCTCGATTGGTTCACCGATTTCGTTTGGTTAGTACGGGCCGTTTGGTTATTCAGGCTCCTGGTCTTGAGCTTCCACCCTTGACGGCAGCGGCACCGATAGGAGCCCACGGAGTTGATGCAGACGGTGGACACGTGACATTGATGCTGCCCGGAGCGGCACTCGTCCACATCTGGGACACAAAGGAAGGAAGGGGTCAGGTCCTGGCCCAGCCCAGACCAGGGTCCCTCTCCCCACCTGGTCCCTGGAGAGGCGGACGGTGGCGATGGGAGTGTGGAGAGGCCTGACGTCCGCAGGTGAGCCCCGTATGGAAGTGCGGGTCGTGAAAACCCTGAGATACATTATTTATTTGGAGAGGTTTTTGCTATAAGGTGCGTGCGCTCGCCAGATAGAGAGAGAGAGACAGAGAGACAGAGAGACAGAGAGAGACAGAGAGACAGAAAGTGAGAAATCACCCCCCAGGGCGGATGGCCACGCCGCAATCCCTTCTCCTCCATTCTCCTCTTGGGATCTTGGGCACGCACGCCCACGTGCCCGGCGTGAGTTGAAGCCACCGGGTCCGGGACTCGAACCGCGGTCGGCTACATGGAAGTCCAGCCATTATGCCGACTGCTGGTCCTATAAACACTGAGATATATTCTTTCCTCTCCGTTGATCACAAGCAGCTGCCTGGGGTCCCCCTGAGCCTCCCCTTTGGGCCCCCAGCTCCTTCCCTGGACCCCCCGATCATTTCAGCCTTGCTGAAGAAGGGTTAACGCTGGGCACAGCAGGGCGCCTCCTGCATCCCTTCTGCCCGGTTTGCGAGGGCGCCGTTGTGTGTGCAACCAGGCGTGTGTAACTGTGGGTCTCCGGGAACGTGGGGTCTTTGCTCTGTACCTTCGCAAATGGTGGTGTTTGGGCCGTTGGGCGACCCAGGAGCCGGCGTCCAGCCAGGGCGGCAGCGACACTCATAGCTACCCACGGTGTTGAGGCAGTGGGTGGTGTTGTGGCACGGGTTCTGTCCCGAGGTGCACTCGTTCACGTCTGGGGACAAAAACGGGGGATTAGGCCCTGCGTCAACTCAGTCCAGACGTCCCCTCCACTCCCTGTACCCACGTCCTTATCTTTCTACTGCCCCAAACCAGGGACCAGGACTGTGTGCACCGTCACCTGGTGACCTTCAACTCCACCTTCAGGACTCCTTTTGGTGGCCTCCCTGCAAAATGGGTGCAGCAGGGACCACGGTCCCCGCTTTACAGGAGGTGAAGCCAAGAGGGAAACTGAGTCCTGGGGACTGGGCTTCCTTTTTCTTTTTCTTTTTTTGGAGAGGTTTTAGGTACAGAGCGCATGTGCTCGCCAGAAAGACAGAGAGACAGAAAGCGAGAAATCACCCCCCAGGAGGGATGGCCACGCCGCAATCCCTTCTCCTCCATTCTCCTCTCGGGATCTTGGGCACGCACGCACACACGCCTGACGTGAGTTTTAAGCCACCGGGTCCGGGACTCGAACTGCGGTCGACTACATGGGAGTCCAGCGACATAGCTGTTATGCCAACTGCTGGTCCCATGGGGGCTGGACTTCCTGACCGAGGGCCCCCGCTTTGCTCCTCACTGACCATGGCTGAGGTTCCCCTTCTGCGTGCATGTGATAGACGGGGAAGGGGTGAGGTGTGGAGGGCTCACAAAGCCCTGTTGTCTCCCGGCGCCCCGTGGCCCGGCCTTCCAGGGAGCCCAGTCCTTGGGCAGGGCCCTCGGAGGGTCTTCTCCCTCCTGCTCCGCTGTGGGACCTGTCTCCGGTGCATCCCCAGCTCCAGTCCAGCCTTGTAGCTCTTCCTGGGTCTCTACCTGCACACAGCATCGGGCCCTTCTGCTGGAGCGCAAAGCCGGGCAGGCACCGGCAGGTGTAGCTGCCCGGGGTGTTGACGCAGACGCCGTGGGGTTTACAGAGCTTTCGGTTCTGTTGACACTCGTCGATGTCTGCAAGAGGAAGGAGAAAGTGAAGGTGCCTGCAAGATTGGGCAGCTTCGGGGCCCGGAGACAGCCAGATTTCCTGGCCTGGAAGCATCTGGAAGGCCCCTGGAAGGCTTGTCTCTTTCCTGGTGAGTTGGCGTCGTTTTTTGGTCCACCCGGAGGCGTCCCGTAGAGACCGTGGTGGCCCGGAGGCTTGAGTGTCCAGATGTGGCCAGAAGCGGCTCCAGTTCTCCCCAGCTCCGGTGTCTTCTTCCTCCCTGGATAGTTTCCAATTGGGGCATCAGGACCATGTGTGTCCCAGCCTAAGGATTCGGAGCAAAGGCCATGGGGCCATCCTGAGGCCCGAGTTCCCAAGTAGGATCGTCTTGGCTCCAAGCGGCAGCCTTCGGCCTGATTTTTCCCTGGGGCAGCTATTCGAGGGCTGAGCACTCTGAATCCCAGGGACCTGGAAGGACGGCGCTTTCCCTTCCTCGCTTGCGTTGAGAGCCCAGCTCCGTGGAAATTGGCCAAGACCTACCCTTGAACCAACACCTGGGGGTGAGGCTCAACAGCAGGGCCAGAGAGAAACGATGTCGGGCAGCCCAGGAGCACCAGACACGGTACCAGGCGGGGTGGACAGCAGAGGCCAGTGGGCAGTTTGGAAACCTCAGGACCACCAAGGTGTCTTTCTGATCCTCGCAAAGGCACCCCGTGGAGGTGGGCTTGGTGGGAGGTGGTGAGAAGGCATGTCTGAGCCAGGCCAGCTGCAGCGGACACCTCGGTGGACGTAGCAGGAGTCGATGGCCAAGGCGGGCCGGCATTTTTATCATCTCGTCCCTTGGTGTCCCACCAGCGATGTGGACCTAGGGCACCCAGGTGGTCTCCAGAGGCCCTCCATTACTCCATGACAAAGCATCGATCCTGGGCAATACTTTCTTTATAGTGAGATGTTTGCTGTTGAGCGCATGCGCTCTCCAGAGAGACAGCAAGCGAGAAATCACCCCCCAGGGGGGATGGCCACGCCGCAGTCCCTTCTCCTCCATTCTCCTCTCGGGATCTTGGGCACGCACGCACACGCGCCCGCTGTGAGTTTAAGCCACC